GGGAAGGCAGGCGGTAAGAGGTTAAGAGATCAACAAAAGGACTTGTATGCATGCATATGAGCATAACCAATGGACATAGACAGTAGGGGGATGAGGGTATGTGCTGGGGGGTGGGAGCAGCCAGGGAGAGGTCAATGGGGGGAAAAGGAGACTCATGTAATACTTTAAACAATAAAGAATTTAAATTAAGGAGAAACCAAGATGGTAGCATAGGTAAACACCTGAAATTGCTGACTCGCACAACCACTTTAAAAATACAAATAAAAGACAAAACGGACATTATCCAGAACCACAGGAAGGCTGGCTGAGTGGAAATTCTACAACTAGAAGGAAAGAGAAAAGCACACTGAGACCCAGAGGAGGTGTGGAAGTAAAGTGCAGAGGTACGGAGGCGCATGCGGAAAGGGCTGGCAACTGAGGACGCGGTTGTCTTTTTCAATCGGGAAGGAGTCACAAGTTCCCGACGGCCCTGAACTCCAGTTCCGGGCGAGTCTCTGGGGACCCAGACTCATATGGGGAGAAACTGGACTGTCTGGCATTGGGTGGTACTCGAGGGCAGTTTGAAAGATAAATGAAAATCCAAGAGAAAATATTTTAAAATATTTAAAAAATCATACTATTCTCAGAGGTGCTTGCAGCAATTAACGTGGGACACTGAGACCCAGGGCCTCTTAGGGCAGGGCTGAGGATCAGCCATAGTTGTTTGCTCCGCCCTATTGATTCCCTGAGACTCCGCCCCACCAAAGCTGTGAGCAGAGGCTTTTGCATATGAATGGGCTGGCCCTTTGAGATCTAAAATTACCTAACAAATTGCAGCTGGGTCAGAGAGACCCAGAACATCCCAAAGAAGGCCCAAGGCCCCAGAGCAGCTTGCATTGCTTCACAGCTGGGCCTCATCTGGGCACCTCCAAACCCCAAACAAAGAAGAGGAATCTGCAGATCTCTCCATAGCTCCTGCTGGGTAGCCTCAGGAAGAGGCTAAATTAGCACCTCCTTAGAGATCCAAGTGCCAGTGTACCCAGTGGTCAGAGTAGGACCATCCAGATTACAACTCCTCAGATCCATAAGGGACACACTCAGGGGGCAGACTCAGTGAGCACCAGAGCCCCACTGAAGAAAGTCTTGCCCCAGAAGGGTGTCTCCAGCACAGAAGTTCTCCCACTGTAGACACAGCTGATTCTCACAGCCAATTTGCCTGAAGGTCAATTCCTCCCAGTGATACCAACAACAATCAAGGCATAACTACAACAAGACTGTGCACACAGCCCACAAAGGGGTGCACCAAGAGTGTCCACCTCAGGTAATTGGGGAGGCTGAGCCACTGGGCCCTATAGGACACCTAGCACAGAAAGCCACTCTATCAACACAGGGAAGCAGCCAAAATGCGGAGACAAAGAAACAGGTCACAAATGACAGAAATGGAGGAAAGCAAACTACTGGATATAGAGTTCAAAACCATACTTTTAAGGTTTTTCAAGAATTTTCTAGAAACCGCCAATAAATTTAGTGAGATCCTCCATAAATCTAGTGAGGCCCTCGACCTCACTAGAAATTAAGCATACACTGACTGAAATAAAGAATATTATGGAGAGTTCCAACAGCAGACTAGAGGATCGCAAGAATTAAGTCAAAGATTTGAAATACGAAGAAGCAAAAAACACCCAACCGGAAAAGCAAAATGAAAAAAGAATCCAAAAATATGAAGATAGTGTAAGGAGCCTCTGGGACAACTTCAAGCGTACCAACATCCAAATTATGAGGGTGTCAGAAGAAGAAGAGAGAGCAAGATATTGAAAACCTATTTGAAGAAATAATGACAGAAAACTTCCCCTTCCTGGTAAAGAAATAGACTTACAAGTCCAGGAAGCACAGAGAACCTCAAACAAGAGGAATCCAAAGAGGACCACACCAAGACACATCATAATTAAAATGCCAAGAGCAAAAGACAAAGAGAGAATCTTAAAAGCAGCAAGAGAAAAACAGTTAGTTACCTACAAGGGAGTACCCATACGACTGTCAGCTGATTTCTCAACAGAAACCATGCAGGCCAGAAGGGAGTGGCAAGAAATATTCAAAGTGATGAATAGCAAGAACCTACAACCAAGATTACTCTACCCAGCAAAGCTATCATTCAGAATTGAAGGTTAGATAAGAAAAAGCTAAAGGAGTTCATCACCACCAAACCAGTATTATATGAAATGCTGAAAGGTATCCTTTAAGAAGAGGAAGAAGAAGAAAAAGGTAAAGATAAAAATTATGGCCCTAGCTGGTTTGGCTCAGCAGATAGAGCGTCGGCCTGCAGACTCAACGGTCCCAGGTTCGATTCCAGTCAAGGGCATGTACCTGGGTTGCGGGCACATCCCCAGTAGGGGGCGTGCAAGAGGCAGCTGAATCGATGTTTCTCTCTCATCAATGTTTCTAACTTGCTATCCCTCCCCCTCTCCCTTCCTCTCTGTAAAAAAATCAATAAAATATATTTTTAAAAAAATTATGAACAACAAATACATATCTATCAAGTGATTCTAAAAATCAAGTGAATAAAAAATCTGATGAACAGAATAAACTGGTAAATATAATAGAATCAGGGGCATAGAAAGGGAGTGGACTGACAATTCTCAGAGGGAAATGGGTGTGGGGGATGCAGGAAGAGACTGGACAAAAATCATACACCTATGGATGAGGACAGTGGGGGGGTAAGGGCAGAGGGTGGGGTGGGAACCAGGTGGAGGGGAGCTATGGGGGGAAAAAAGAGGCACAACTGTAATAATCTGAACAATAAAGATTTAATAAATTTAAAAAAAAATAATTTAAATTTAAAAATAAAATAAAATGGGGAAAAAAATAGGGGGGCAGCCTGGCCGGTATGGTTCAGTGGTTGAACATACATTTATGAACCAGGTCACAGTTCAGTTCCCGGTCAGGGCACATGTCAGGCTGTGGGCTCAATCCCCAGTGGCGTTGTGCAGGAGGCAGCTGATCGATGATTCCATCCTATCACTGATATTTCTGTCTCTCTCTCCCTTTCCCTCTGAAATCAATAAAAATATATTTAAAAAAACACAAAACCAAGAGATGCTCAATTCCACTATTAATGCCAAACGAAACAATGAAATTACTATTTTTCACCTACCGAATTAGCAACCGTATAAAAAGTTCATAGCATCCAGTATAGCCAAGGTTGTAGGAAATGGAGATACTCACACATGGTTCTGAGTAAATGCACAAATTCTTACAAACTTCTGAAATGCAATTTCACAGAATTTGTTAAAATTTAAAATGCACATATCCTTTCTACAAATCTATCTAATGGAAAAGGCTAACTATATAAGGATGTTCATTATGGCATTGTTTATAAAACAGACAAAAATTGGAACTAAGCTAAATGTTCATCAGGATGGGTCTGGAAAACTAAAGTACAGACATAAGTTGGAATACTATGCAACAATTCTAAACTGAGCCTGGCTGGTGTGGTTCAGTAGTTGAGCACTGACTCTGAAACACAAGGTCACAGCTCATTCCCAGTTGGGTTTTGGGCTCAATTCCCAATGGGGTGTGCAGGAGGCAGCCAATTAATGATTCTCTCTCATCATTTATGTTTCTCTTTCGCTCTCTCTCCCTTCCTCTCTGAAATCAACTATATATATATATATATATATATATATATATATATATATATATATATATATATTAAAGATGTGAACTCACTTAGATGTCTAAAATACACCGAATGGCATACTGTACGTGCTCAAAAAATGTTCTAAATGGAAAAAAAATTTTTTCGTATGAACAGAAAAAGCCTGGGAATATATGTACCAAATTGACAAAAATGACTACCTTCAGGAGCATGGGGCAGTAAGAGAGGGAAACTAAACATTTTTTACCTTTTATCCTTTTGTTGCATAAATTGTTAAAATAAATGAGCTAATTTGTAAAAACTTATTGCTGACAGTTTCACTCCATTTTATCTCAATTTTATGATGATCCTAAGAGCGAAAAAACTTGAGCGAAAAAACTTGAGCGAAAAAACTCAACTAATGGACTGCCCAAGGAAATGAAACCTGTGTGCAAAAAGTGGCTGGGAGCCCTGACTGGTTTGGCTCAGTGGATAGAGCATTGGCCTGCGGACTCAACGGTCCCAGGTTCGATTCCAGTCAAGGCATGTACCTGGGATTCGGGCACATCCCCAGTGGGGAGTGTGCAGGAGGCAGCTGATCCATGTTTCTCTCTCCTCGATGTTTCTAACTCTATCCCTCTCCCTTCCTCTCTGTAAAAGATCAATATATATATTTTTTAAAAGTGGCTGGGAATTATCTTCTTTCATAAGTAAAGTTTTTTTTCTTTTTTTTTCTTTAAATATATTTTATTGATTTTTTTTTTTTAGAGAGAGGAAGGGAGAGGGATAGAGAGTTAGAAACATCGATGAGAGAGAAACATCAATCAGCTGCCTCCTGCACACCCCCTCCTGGGGATGTGCCCAAAACCAAGGTACATGCCCTTGACCGGAATCGAACCTGGGACCCTTCAGTCCGCAGGCCAACGCTCTATCCACTGAGCCAAACCAGTTAGGACGTTTTTTTTTCTTTTACTATCTCTACTGATTCTCCAAAACTCACAACCTGACAGTACCTACCACAGAAGCTGGGGCCTAAATGGAATGGATATTGCCTTCCATCAAGTGCACTTCGCATAGTCCACCTTAAGCAGGACCACTTCCTAATAGCTAAAATTGGGAGAATTTGAAGAAAGGATCGTTCCCTTTTTCCTAATGCGGCCAGGCCCAAGCACCATCCTGCATCGCCTTCTCCAATGAAAGGAGTTTCCTCCTGAGGGAAGTCCTAAAGTTTTTCCCAAGTGAGCCCAGTGTCAGACGCCGGAGGGTCTGGAATAAAGGAGGAAGCGGTGTAAGGTGACCAGCCTGGCGGGGGATGCACCGCGGGGCACCCATTTTCAGATTGGAGTTGAGTGTACACATCAGGCACGTGCACAGAAAGTTGACTCACCCTGGCCGGGTGGCTCAATTGGTTGAAGCGTCATCCCGTACACAAAAGGTGGCGAGTTCAAATCCCGATTTGGGCACATACTTGGGTTGCAGTTGGATCCGGGTGGGGGCATCTGATGTTTCTCTCTCTCCCTTACTTTATCTAAAATATGTAAACTTAGCCCTGACCAGTTTGGCTCAGTGGATAGAGCACTGGCCTGCGGACTGAAGGGTCCCAGGTTCCATTCCGGTCAAGGGCATGTACCTGGGTTGCGGGCACATCCCCAGTGGGGAGTGTGCAGGAGGCAGCTGATCCATGTTTCTCTCTCATCGATGTTTCTAACTCTCTATCCCTCTCCCTTCCTCTCTGTAAAAAATAAATAAAATATAGTTTTAAAAAAATTTATAAAACTTAATTCCTCTCCCAGCTGACTGGGCCTGATGGAAACCTCAAGTAATGACAACCTCGGCCGAGTTACGTGAAATGGTGGGGTTACGAACTATTCTGGCTCTGTTTGGGGCACCAGGTTCAAAAGCGACCGAGAGAACGTCCACGAAGAACGTAGGTAGAGTGATGGCGCTTTTTTGAGGAGTCTCTGGCAAAAACCTTTAAAAAGCACCCAGCCGTTCCGTCATTTCTGGGCCTCCGTTCCTGCCCTCAATCAAGATGGCCGCGTGGGACTCGCCCGCACCACGGCGCATGCGCCGTACCACCAGCCTCCTTTCTGTGCGAGGGCACCGCCCATTCACGCACCAGCTACACCCCATTCCCTGCGTCCTCGGCAGCACCCCTTTGCTAGCTGTCCCCGCCCGGCCAGGATCCCCAGCCCGGAAGTGGATGTAGCTGTGCAGCGGAGAGGACGAGGGGGAGGGGAAAGTGCTTCCGGGGAAGCAGGCCCGGGGTTGGTGTTTGTAAACTTGCCTCGGTCCCGGCGGGGGCAGCGGCGGCCACGGGGTTGGCACAGGGTACTGGGCCTGGAGGAGGCGTCGCGCAGTGGGTGAGCCCGCTGGAGGCCGCGCCTGGCAGGTAGGAGCACGCCCCGGGGAGCGCAGCGTCGTCCGAGCAGACGGCAGCGCTTCAGCAGCTCGCAGGCCGTGGGGCGCTGCGCGGGCAGGGGGAGGGGAAGGGAGGAGGGGCGCGTGGAGAAGGGAGGGGGCTCCCCGGGGAGTGGAAGAGGCCGCGCGCGCGCACCGCCCCCCGCCCACGCTCCCGCCCGCCCGCCGCGTGACCGACCCAAGAAAGGGGGGCTCGCTTGGAGGGAACGCGGGCGCGAGCACGCACCTTGCACGCACCTTCCTCGGCGCTCTGCGTCTCTGTCCCGTCGCTAGGCTCCCCGGCTCGCTGGCTGGAGGGAGGGAGGGGGGAAAGCGCAGCGCGAGTCCTCGCATGCCTGCCTTCCACCTCCGCAGTGAGTTTCTGCACCTTCGGGCGGATTCGGAGAAGGCGCGCGCGTGGCCCGGCCCGGGTGCACGCTGCCAGTCTGGTTTCTGCCTCCTGCACCCAAGTGCCCAGTGGTAGCCCCTGGGTTTCTCTCCACCGCAGTTCTGGCCACCTGAACAGAGCTTCGCGGATGGCCCACTCCGCACAAAAGCCCCTTCAGGGCCTCCGCTCCCTTCTTCCATTCCTCAGGTCACAAATGCAAGCGTTTGGCCAGTTGCGGTTCCTCCACAAGGGACCCCGGTTACTTTTGCTCTTCTTGGCTGTCCCCTCCCCCCTTCCCCAAGAGACCAGTTTCTTCTCGGCCTAGAAAGGTAACACTGGCACACACACACACACACACACACACACAGTTCAGGTCACTACAGGTTGGATAGCCTGAGGATGTTGCACCTAACAGCCCCATCTCCCTTTCTAGTTTCAGGTTTCTGAAACAGATCGCGAACTTCGTCGAGAAAATTCAGTTGGAACATCAAGACTGGCACACTCTTTTTCCTCAGACAGTAGGCAGGAGCCAGGCAGAGCCCAGGAATTCTTGAAACACCTCTCTTCCATTTGGAGGACACTAAGTTTTATTTGACGACAAAGGCAGTTCAATATGGCAGCAGGACTGAAGGGACACGAAGGAGTTGTTACTGTGATTTGGTGACAGTTCTTCCAACAACAGTGTCTTAAGGGAAGGTGGATCAAGAAAACCCAGAACTTTGGGGTTGCATTGAGAACTCGGCATGGCTCAGGTAAAAAGCTCTAGAGTCCTCCTCCTTCAAGATAACTGGGAAGCGTGTTTGCAGTTTCACTCTTAAATGCTGCCTTAGTCAACATACTGACCAACCCAGTGAGCCAAGCTCTGTATTAAGCACCAGGGGGAGATCTAGAGGAAGGAAAGGAGACAGGCCACAGCCCCTGCCTTCAGGGAGTTTCCAGTCAAATGAAGGAGGTAGGCTATACTGCATCACAGGCACTGATGGGACCTTTGCAAAGCAACAGGTACTCAGTTTACACTTGGTACATTAAGTGCTGAGGGGTGCGAGGGAGTAAACAGTCTTGTGAATGCTTCCTTTGTGTGTTGTTTGTTTGTTTTTTTCAACAGGGATTTTATTGAGCTCTTGTTATATGCAAGGCATTGTGCTGGGGATACAAAAATGAATAAGCCGTCCCAGTCCCCAGCAAGCTTCTAGGCTAGGTGTGCTTGGGGGGTGGGGGGTGGGGGGTGAGATGGAGAGACAGTCTGTTACCAATCTTTATGTTCACACTACCTTGCATAGTGGCTAATAGTAGAGATTCAGTGAATCTGTTGATTGAAGGAATGTGCAATAATTGAGATATGTGTACTGCAGAAGAGAGAATGATACCTCTGCCTGGATGGAAACAGAAGATGAATCTTGAAGGATGCATAGGATTTTGCTAAATAATCAGAACAGGGCATTCAGACAAGGAGAACTTCATGGGCAGAGACTTAGAGGTATGGGATGATGTGATGAGGTTGGGGGTATGGAGATAGTTTGCTACGTTGAGGAAAGGATTCAAATGGGGGGGTGGTTGGGGGTTAGGCTAGAGAGAAATGGGAAAATTGGGGTGAGGGAGTTGTTTCCTGGAGAATTAAGCAGAGTGTAACCCTTTTATGCCTTGCTAAGGAATTAGACTTTATTCTATAAAGAGTGGGAACTCTGAAGAATGTTAACTAGAGTGACATCAGTGTATTTAGAAGGTAATTGCCATTGTGGGGATACAGGGCGGATTGGAGAGAGAGGATGACCTGATAGGCTATTGTTGGTATATTTTCATCGTCTGGGCAGGAAAGCTATGTGCAGGGATCTCTAGAGCCTCTCTCAGCTTTCTTCCAGGGACTCTCCCCTACCAGTCTCACCAGGATGACAGCCTGATTGCAGTGTAATTGGCTTTCCTCCAGCTGCAGGCACAGCTTCCTCCTCTCCATGCAGAATAGGAGCCCTTTAGTTTGTTCCTTTGTCTGTTTGCAGCCCCTTTCACGGCGTCGTGTTCACTCTCGTTCTGAGAAGACTGCCTTTCACTAACTTTGTACGGGGCACAGCTGAGCATTTTACATTCTAGTTTAATTCTTAACCCTGTAAAGGTAAATACTATGATAAATATTTTCCATTTAAGGAAACTTAGGCTTAAAGAGGTGGAGTAATTTGCCCAAGATTATATAATGCAAACAGCAAGGCTAAGTTGTTGCTTTTTTTTTTTTACCTCCAGATCCTTTAGTCCAAAGTCTTTGAAGGTGAAGGAGGGGGTTCCAGGATATACTGATCATCTAAAAGGAATTTCTTTATAAATCACTTGTGGAAGTTTACTGACCAACTACTACTAAAAAGTTCCTTCAGTAAGAAAAGTATAGTCTCTAGTGCTGGCTAAACAGTCAATTTAAAGAATGTAACAGTGGAAAGAGGACATTTTCTTAAACATTCCTTATGTAATTTTAAACTATATGTAGAGCAAGGAATGTGAAAAAATACGGGTATGCACACATATAAATGGCCAGGTAGTGTGTGAACAGAAATTGTATATTCAGCTCCCAAGTCCTTTCAAGTGGTTTAATTTTCATGTCTGTTATAATTGATACACTTAGGGGATTTAAAATCTAAAGAGAGAAATAACCTAATTTTACCAATAAACATTTGTGGAACCTGATAGAATATATACTTGGCGCTAGTGGGGTCTGTAAAGCTGAGTGCTATTGAGAGAAGGAGGAAGTTCCTCTAGAAATCTCCCATTTCAGTGGGTCAGCAGGACAGACTCATGCCCACTCCCAAGACCTAGAAACACTTCAAAGTAACATGTAGACCCACATTGTACCTAGCACAGCACTAATGATAAAAGTGTCAGTAATACTTGATTATTATATCTAAATGATGGATGACAAAATAAGTAACTAATTCCTGGTGAGATGAGTTAGGGAGGACTCTTGAAGGAAGCAGAGTTTTGTCCGTAGAGCAGTTTGTTCATAGGCAGGAGTAAAAGGTAGTTCTGTGGAGGATGGCAGCCTGTTTCTGCCCTGCCAGGTGACCTGATACCTCATCTCCTTTCAACTTAGGCAAGTCTCCTGGCTTGTGAAGGCCTAGCAGGTGTGAGTTTGGTTCCCACTGCAGCCAGCAAGAAGATGATGCTGAGCCAGATTGCCAGCAAGCAGGCCGAGAACGGAGAGCGGGCAGGTAGCCCTGATGTGCTGAGGTGCTCCAGTCAGGTACAGAGCTGGACTCCATTGTGGCACCTGGGGGTCGGGTGGCCCAAGCTCTCTGCCAGGAGATGCCAAGCTTTGATTCCTCAGTGCTTCTGTTTAAGGAAGTGGGGTAAGGGGAATCAATTGGGGAATGAATGAATATGGGTTTTTTAGAGAACAAAGAAGGGTCTTTTCTTAAGTACCCTTAAAACCAGAGTACTTGGGGAAGAAATGGATGAGTACTTTCTCTTAACCTTTGGGCAGGTGGTTTACTCTCATTTACAAGTTGCCTAAAAGTAGCATTTGGTCTTCTGTCTTGGGTTCTGAGATGGACTTTGAGTTTAGATTTGATTTGTATTCTAAGGGCCACCGAAAAGACAGCGATAAGTCCCGGAGCCGCAAAGATGAAGACAGCTTGGCTGAGGCCTCTCATTCAAAAAAGACTGTTAAAAAGGCAGGTAATGGGGTTACCCACAAACTGGTAGTTTGGTAATGGGGTAATCTATCTTCTATGGCTCAACCTGGAGCTTTCCCTAGGTGTTTTGGTCCCTCATAGCCAATGATTGTGTCACCCTAATTTCATCCAGAGACCACTTTGGTAGTTCTACCTTCTGCAGAACATCCTTGGTAAGGGAAGGAAGGTTAGAGAAGCATGAGATCCTGTGTCAAAGGACAGGCAGACTACTCCTCGGGTCCCATTAAAAATACTGAGTTTGCCTAGCTGGTTTGGCTCAGCAGATAGAGCGACCAGGTTCGATTCCAGTCAAGGGCACATACCTCAGTTGTAGGCTCCTCCCCAGCCTGGGCCCTGGTCAGGGCTCGTGCAGGAGGCAACCAATCGATGTATTTCTTTCATGTCGATATTTCTCTCTCTCTTCCACTCTCTCTAAAAATCAGTGGAGCCCTAGCTGGTTTGGCTCAGTGAATAGAGTGTTGACGTGCGGACTGAGGGGTCCCGGGTTCAATTCTGGTTGGGAGCGCATGCCCGAGTTGTGGGCTCAATCCCCAGCAGGGGGCGTGCAGGAGACAGCCGATCAATGACTCTCTCTCATAATTGATGTTTCTATTTCTCTTTCCCTCTCTGTTCCTCTCTGAAATCAATAAAGATATATTTTTTAAAAAAAAAATCAATGGAAAGCCCTAACCGGTTTGGCTCAGTGGATAGAGTGTCAGCCTGTGGACTGAAAGGTCCCAGGTTCGATTCCGGTCAAGGGCGTGTACCTGGGTTGCGGGCACATCCCCAGTGGCGGGTATGCAGAAGGCAGCTGATCGATGTTTCTCTCTCATCGATGTTTCTAACTCTCTATCCCTCTCTCTTCCTCTCTGTAAAAAACCAATAAAATATATTTTTTTAAAAATCAATGGAAAAATATCCTCAGGTGAGGATTTAAAAATATATATATATTGAGTTTGACAAGGCAGGCAGCTTAGCCACCTCCCTCCTTTCTTGGAGGATCTCTGCACTCTAGGGCAGTGGTCGGCAAACTCAGTAGTCAACAGAGCCAAGTATCAACAGTACAACTATTGAAATTTCTTTTGAGAGCCAAATTTTTTAAACTTAAACTATATAGGTAGGTAATTGTTATTAACTTAATTAGGGTACTCCTAAGGCTTAGGAAGAGCCACACTCAAGGGGCCAAAGAGCCGCATGTGGCTTGCGAGCCACAGTTTGCCAACCACGGCTCTAGGCAATACGGGAGATAGTAGCATCGGAGGGGTTGCTGGAAATAGACCCTGAGTAGAATGGGGGCAAGAAGGGGACAGAGAGAGAGCCTCATGACGTGCCTGATTGTTGCCCACAGGTTGTAGTAGTGGAACAAAATGGTTCTTTTCAAGTAAAGATTCCCAAAAATTTTGTTTGTGAACACTGCTTTGGAGCCTTTCGGAGCAGTTACCACCTCAAGAGGCACATCCTTATTCATACCGGTAAGTCTTTTGCTCAAATTCAAGGAGGGGAGAATAGTCGATAGTTTGGTGTGTGTGTGTGTGTGTGTGTGTTAGGTTTATTTTATGTTATTTTTTTTGTTGGGTTTACTTTAAAGGGTATTAGAAGTAACGGAAGAAGGTAAATGAATGAGATAGAGATTGCGTGGCTCTGTATCAAGTGTCACTGAGACCAACAGCTTTGTGGACCCTTCCCCGTTAGGTGTCTGCACATTGCTAAAAGTTAAAATTTCTGGGAAAATAACCTAGAACGAGGTCCCTGCCATGCATACCTCCTGATATTAACTTCTCTCTCCATCTGGGCCAGGTGAGAAGCCATTTGAGTGTGATGTATGTGATATGCGCTTCATTCAGAAGTACCACTTGGAGCGTCACAAGCGTGTGCACAGTGGTGAAAAGCCCTACCAGTGTGAACGGTGTCATCAGGTAAGCTCACATGTCATCCATCCACCCTCCACAGAAACTTTTCCTTCCCAAAGAACGGGGGCCCGCCCCACTCCCAGCCCGACAAAGGGCCATGATCAAGTCAGTACCTCAGGGTGAGGTGTATTTCTCTGGCCTTACGTAACTGCTCATGGGGAGGGGCCATTAGAATAATTGTAATAAAAAATTATAATAATAGTAACATTTCTTAAGGTCTTAATCTCTGGCAGGCACTATGAGAGCATCCTTGACATAGATTATTCTTTTTTTTTTTTTTAAATATATATTTTTTATTGATTTTTTACAGAGAGGAAGGGAGAGAGGTAGAGAGTTAGAAACATCGATGAGAGAGAAACATCGACCAGCTGCCTCCTGCACATCCCCCACTGGGGAAGTGCCTGCAACCCAGGTACATGCCCTTGACCGGAATCGAACCCGGGACCTTTCAGTCCGCAGGCCGACGCTCTATCCGCTGAGCCAAACCGGCTTTGGCGACATAGATTATTCTTACATTCATTCCGTAATGTGTTGTCCTCATTTCACATGGGGGAAAACGGAGACTGAAAGAGGTTAAGCTTCCCAAGGACACAGCAGGTCAAGGGCAGAGTCAGAATTCAGTCAAACTTCAGAGCTGGAAGAAGAAAGGTAATCTCCGCTCTGAGAGTCAGTATCTGATCTGATGAGAATGTAAGAGCCAGGATCAAAACAAAGGACAAGAGATAAGAAATGATGGCAACACCTCCTGGATGCTTCACTATGTCTCAAGCTTTGCTCCCTGCTCTTACATTGAGTCTTCAGAACACTAGAAGAAAGCTCCATGAGGCAGAGATTTTGTCCCTCTGGGTCTCCACTCGATATCTGCAGCCCCAAGAACTGTACCTGCCTTGAGATTGAGACTCCATAAAACTTTGATGAATGAAGGAGCCACAGTCTGAGTAGGTACTTTTAGCCCCATTTTTCAGATAGATGTGCAGATGGAAAACTGTTAGGTAACTTGCCCAGAGTCACACAGCTACTTAGTGGCAGAGCCAAGATTCAGACTTCTCAGTTTCTTTGTTCTTAACCACTGTGCTTTCATGCCATCTGTACATTCTGAGGCAACATAAAATTGGTTATATGCCTCCTGTGTGGGGAAGACAGGTCTAGCCAACAGGTATCTGAGTTCCTCCTCTCAGGCACTTAACCCTCCCTTTCTTCTCAGTGTTTTTCTCGGACAGATCGATTACTCAGACACAAACGGATGTGCCAAGGGTGCCAGTCCAAGACTTCCGACGGGCAGTTTTCTCTATAGGCGCAAGGGGCCCTGGGTGGTGGGAGTGATGAGAAGACTCTACCGAAGAACGCACCCTCCTCTGGTCTGACGGTCCCACCACCACCCCGTGTGTACCTGTCCCCTCCTGGAGGAGTGGACCTAGGAGACCAGAAGAGTGCATCAGGGGACAACAGCCCCAGAGCCTCAGCTCTGTAAATAATCTGAGACTATGAGTATCTCGGGGAAGTTCCTACAGCATTCCTGGGCAGGAAAGCTAGTCCCTGGACCCTTGGCTGAGTTCATAGGTGGGGGACTCAAGGTACAGGACCAAGACTGAAATGTGGCTCCCACAACCTTGGACTCCAACTGGCAGCTGAAATGAAAAAGATTGGGAGAGGGATTTGTTTATTTGTTTGTCCTGTTCTTATTTTTGTTTATCCAAAAGCAATTTCAGCAGGTACACTGTGGATACAGGTAATCTGGAGGTACAGAACCATAGCCACAGGGACGATGGGTGGTCCAGCCCTCCAGAATTGAGTTTTTAGTTGCAATTGATCCTCAGTGTTCCACACCCCTGCCCCCTACCTCCTGCTTGAAGGAGAATAGGACCAGGGATGGCAGCTGAGCTTACTTTGGCTTCCTTATACACTAGGGACAAAAGGAAGAACAGTAGGAGGAGCAGACGAGGGCTGGATCCAAGAAGAGTGGACAGGTACCTGTTATTTCCTCTGGGGAAGAGTAAGAGTTGTGCCCATGGATGTTGTAATGAACCATGCCACACTGGTACCTGATGGGGTCAGCCTAAGTGCCTTTTGGGGGAAACTTGGGTGACAGTGGCTCATGAAGCCCTTTCCTTCTCTCTTCGGGCAGTTGACCTTGGAAATAGTTTGTGGCTACCTCACCGCCATTGATTCCTAAGCCAAACGGGGGTGTTGAGCAGGGAGTCATAGATATCAAAGTAGTTCTTCCTCCTTGTGCCCTCTTTGGAACCACCCAAGACTAGTCCTAAGTTGAGTAACAGCTGTTCGGGAAACAGGAATTAGGTGTCCCTTGACATGACAGCTGAGCGGTGTGAGCTGTTCTCTCTGCCCAAGTCCTATCACTGTATTCAGGTAGAGGAGATAGGGGTCTGGCCTTTGGTCCCAAAGAACAAGATCTTGGCTTCCTTCTTGACGGCCATCCCTACCCAACAAAGAATTGGGGGGAGTAGAAGAGCTGCAGAGAAAGGACTGAGGATGAAACCTAATGTAGGATTTATTCTTAACCATACTCTTTGCTTCTCTCTGCTCCCAACACCATCATCCTATCCACCCTCAAAAAAATGATCTGGGGGGTGTGTGTGTGAGTGTCCGTGTTTGTGTGCTTGGAGACGGCATATTATTGAGCCAAGCTCTTCTGTGGCCTCTGCGCAGGGGAGGGCGAGCATGAAACAGCCTCCCCCGCCCCAAACCTGAGGGTGTGTAAGGTCCCAGCAGGACCTGAGAAACTCAATTTAGGCCAGGGGAGGGCTTTGTTTTGGAGGTGTTTTTGTTTTTGTTTTTAGACTGATTCAACAGAGTGGGGGTTAGATGTTTCTAACTTATGCCAGGGGCTTGTGAACATTATTTTCTAAAGTGAAATGAAAAGCCCTCTTCCTGCTAAGGAAAGGATCCTTATGGAAGGCCTGGGGTTTGTGGCCTGCGTTCTGTGGCCTGCCCTGACCTGTGGAATGAGGAGTAATCATGGAGACTTGATGAACCTGACCAAGCTGTCCGTGGGGATCCTATGGCCTCTAGGAAATGTGAGTTCTTTCCCAGAAAGTGTAGGGAACAGCAGCAACATACTCCTGGTGTTACCTATTCTGGAAGAGAGCATGGGGGAATGGGGCAGTCCTCTGTGCCTCTGAGGTGTGGGGATCTCGGGAAAGAGGAAAGGGGCATGACACCTTTTAGGTTTTTCCTGAGAGCATCGGAGATCCTTTGGGGAGACCTTGGGGATGTGTGTGCCGCCCTGTGCTTTAGGCTGGCACTCCCAGGGGTTGTGTCAGAATCGCCCTGTGGCCCCTGTTAGGGCATTTTTCTGCATGTGAGCCAGCCCCTTCCTGGGAGAGTTCTCTGCTCAGGCTGGAATTTGTCTATTGTTCACCTCTGGGAATATCTTCTGAGAAGAAGGATACATTTAGGAAATTGTCCTCCCAAGAGCGCTTTTGAAAATGGGAGGCCTCGCTCCCTGCCTCTGGGTTGTGGGGTGGCGTGGGTGGGTGTGGCGAGAAGCACGCGAGTGATCAATGCCCCTATGTGTGTGAATGTGTGTTTAGGCCGGGATGTGCCCTGGCCCCAGCAGGCCTCAGCTTCCTGCCTGAGGGTGGGAGAGGGGAAATTAAGTGGATATGTAGAGCCATACCAGAACCACCCCTGCCAGCGCCTGGGTGTGGGGGAGACCCAGGAGCAGGGGGTTAGTTTGGTTGTCCAGGTGCTGATGTTCTGGGGCCATGGATGTATAAGGAGAGGGAAGCAAAGAGGTGAAAGGAGTGATTTAGCGCCCATGGGGGGGGGGGGCAGGAGCCCCACTTATACCCCAGGGAAACCATAGACTAAGATTGCAGCAAAGGCTCCTGGGCCCAACACCCCACCCTTTGTTTGCTGGGATGGGGTCTAGCACTGGAAAGATGCCTCAGGTGTGTTTGGAGTGAAGGGAAAGGGAGATAGGGCAGGCTCTCAGAGACCAGGCTGTGGAATTGGACCCGGGAAAGAGTAGCCCCAGTTCCTGGGTGAACTGCTATACCAGGCCCTACCAGCCCTGCCCTTCCCAGCACCCCAAGTCTTTTCCGTCCACCCCCAACAGCCTCTTGTCATCACTTAGCTACTGACTGTGCCCCACGGCTTGACATCGGAGGGTTAAGAGAGACAGAGTCCTGCCACGACTTTTACTAGTAACCCTCTCCTCAGACTCTGCCTCTGCTGTAGCTCTGGGGCTTTTATCTTAATCCCTCCTACCTGCCTCACCACCCACCCTCTCTCTTTTTTTTTTTTTTAATATACTTATTTTGCTATGGGGGGTGGGGAATATCAAATGAACAAGATCACTTTTAAATGGTAGTTTTTATAAGATGTTATAAACTTGTATCTTTTTACCATTAAAGTGCAGTGTATGTTCCTTCGTGATATATTTAGGATATTTAAATAAAAAGAAAATGGGGCTTTTTTACATACTATCTCATCTTTGAAAAGAATATCTTGTGGGGAATTTTTTTCACTGGGGCCAACATGATCTCCCTTTTCCCCCCAAATATTACCATCCTGCAATTTCTAGTACCCTATAAACTGCCACTTTAAAACTCCCCTTCTCCACAGGCAAGCAACAAGTAGAATTGAAACCGAGGTATCTAAAATACATATATGTGTATTAATTCTGATTAAGAGGAAAAAACCCTGCTGGACAAGACAGAATGAGGTTGGATACCAGCAGACACAGTGTTTGTTAAAGTGATCTGTAACCTGAAGATTCTTTATTGTATTTGTGGATGGGGCAACCCCCACTTCTTGAGGGGTGGGGAAGCAAGGGTGCAGCAGGAGGCCGGCCCTCTGGGGTGTCCAAGTACCGTAGGTGGTGATTAGTCCCCCAGCAGGCTGCTGCCTGATAGACCCAGAGCCCTAATCCCCACCATCCCCCGGAAGAAGAACCCTGGAGCGAGCAGCCCTACCCTCTTCAGAGAGGACTTTCTGGGGCTTGGAAGCGGGGGTTAATGACGGTCGTGACGGCGCTTTTGTAGAGAGGATTTCTGTCCTGGGGGAAGAAGTTGGAAATGATGAGGAAAAGTCCCAGGACTTCTCCTTTAGCTAATCCTAAGGGCCAACCTAGAACTTGAGCCAGACCCTAAAAGCCTGTGGACAGGCCACAAACACCTAGGTGACGGAGGCGGGGGTGGGGGGGGGGGGGTTGGGGGTCAGGGCTGAGGGTGGGATGAGACAGCTGGGGCAGAGGACCTAACCCAGGAAAGCAAGTGAAAACCAGCCCAGCGGGCTAGGAGGCAGTCTCACCTGCTTCCAGTTGGGCTGCTGCCGCTCCTTCTCAAAGCGCTTGTATTCTCGGCGGTCATAGATTTCCACGGAGAGCCGATAAGCCAGGACCAGCCCCAGTCCCACTGCCACAATGCCCCCCACACAGCCTAGCACAATGGCCTGGGTGTGGTCTGCTCCCTCTATGGGGGTGAAACAGAAAGACTTCTGGGCGGGTGGGACACAGAGATTGAGCACCAGTTGCCCAGTGTGTGTGCAACCCCATCCAACCTCCCCGGCAGTCCCTGTCATTGAAAACAAAGGGAACTCAGCAGGTTTATGTTCAGTGCCCAGTTTTTTAGCCTCCGCTTGATCCATTACCGCCACTTTTGCCTGGATTCTCAGTTCTGCTTCAATCCCTAGTCTGGGTCCTCTGTCTTTACCTCCCCAATCTGAGTTCTGAGGCCCCACCCATCAACCTTCATGGCTCCATTTGGCATGTCCAAGGCATCTCTGTCCACTTACTCTCTTGGGGTCGCACTCTCAGCGTGACCCTGCCTCCGGCTTCCTCCTCCACCAGGAAGAAGAACAGCTGGTTGTCCAGGGTCCTCTCTTTGCACCAGCCGTCATCCAGCATAGGGGCCAGAGCCACAGTCACATTGGTATGGGCACAAGCCATGCTGCAATTGGTGGCCAGGACACCAGTCCCAAAGGCCCCACACTCTGCACAGTCCCTGTCCAATAGACGCCTGTAAGTTACTGACTGGGCAGTTGTCACCCACACCACATGGAGGAAAGCAGGCAGGGGCCCCAAATGCCAGGCCTGAGGCCTCACCTGTGTCTCTCGCATGGTGTCTTGCAGCCTGGGCACTGATCACATAGGGCACCGTAGTAGCCGTCCAAGCACTGGCAGCGGTTGCATTTGCAATGTCCATGCCCACTGCAGAGCCTTCCCTCAGGACCGACGCAGCCATCCACGTCCCCACTGCACTCACACGCTCTGCCCGTGCGGTTGGTGTGACAGTGACACACTCCACATTGGCAGAGGCCAAAGCCTGGAGTAGAGTCACGCACAGGGTGACAAACAGGTTCCACACACGCAATGGACAGCACAGCCTAGAGCTGACCTGTTCCCGTGCATCCAGTCCCCGCTCAGTATGCCACATGTGTGCCCCAGCTCCTACACCAGAATCTCCGTACTTGCCCTTAGTGCCTTAAAGGTCCCAGACCCTAAATACCCTTCAGAGCCACTCTGAACCCTCCCTTCTCTCACAGGCCCCCAGGTACCTCCACAGAGGATGCCCTCATGTCGCTCACAGCTGGCATCGTCACACTCGCACAGGCGCCCAGAGCTCTGTCCGCTGCAGCTGCAGCGTCCACACTGGCAGCGTCCCTTCCCGCTGCACAGGGGCCCTGTCCCATTCGGGCCCCGGCACCCAGATTCCAGATCTGGGGAGGACATCTCAGACTCAGTGCACTCACAGAGTCGACCCAGGCGGCCTGGGTCACAGCTGGGAGGGGAAAGAAAGGGAGAGAGGTGGGTCCGCGAGTTCGGTCATTCCTTTACCTGTCTTTCCCAGGATACTCTAAACCCAAGGTCTCACAAGAGTTTAGATGGTGGCTGAAGGGATGTGGAATATAGTAAAGTACCAAGGAGTGGAGGAGCAGAGTGAGTCCTGGTGGAGGGGCGGGTCTCAGCATTCTGGGAAGCTTCAGGAGATAAAAATCAGGGTGCAGTGTAGGGATGTGTAGGAAAAACTTGTCTAGAGATGCCAGTGGAAGAATAGAAGGCAAGGGAGGAGGAATACAGGGGCTGTATTTGTGGGGGGCTACATAGGTGGAGGGAAGCTAGCGGCCCTCACCTGCACACCCCGCATTGTAGGTGCCCGTGGTCACTGCAGTGGGGCGCTGGGAGCTGGGTGTCATGGCAGTTGCAGTCGCACAGTGTGTGCAACTCCACAGTCAGCTCCTCTGAGAAGCCAAGAGCTCGGAACTTCAGAAAATGGGGCTCTGGGAGGCAGCGGGTAGCTTGGAAAGTAACCAAAAAATTCACCTGAGGGCAGAATGGGCAGAAATCAGACTAAACTCATACATGCACCCCTGTGCACAGGGGCACACACCCCAAACCTATGGATCATCCAGAACCCTACTCCTTAGTAAATTAAGGGACAGTCAATGCTAACACCCATCTCCTAGCAACATGCTTGAAGCTAATCATTAAACCCCTTCAGAAAGGGTAGATGGAGAACTACCTCAAATTCTTGCATTGTTCTCTGTGCCGGCCCCCATCTTTTCCTTCCTGCCTCAATATCCCACTCCCACCCCCACTTCCTTCATTCTGCCTATTTTTTAAATTGATTTTAGAGAAACATTGGTTTGGTCCACTTATTTATGCATTCACTGGTTGATTCTTGTATGAGCCCTCACCAGGGATCGAACCCGCAACCTTGGCATATTGGGGACGATGCTGTAACCAACTGAGCTACCTGGCCAGCGCCCCTTCTGCCTATTGCAACCGGCTCTCACCGTCTGGTTGATTCGGACATGGTTGCACTGTCCCCGGTCCCCAGGCTCACCAGCCCTCTTCTCATGACCCCCACACTGGGATTCATAAGAGATGTGGACCCCCGGAGGGAGTGGAGAGTGCTCGAGGGTCACAGTGGATGACAGGCTCTGTGGGAAGAGAATGAGTAACCACATGAAGGTGGACTCTGACCCCACCTCATGCCCTCTCCAGCCATTCCAGATTCTGCCAGAACCCTGCCCTCAGCCCACCTCAAGGCTCCTTCCATTCTGCCTAGTCTGGAGGCATCTCTGGAGGAGGGACCTGCGAGAACCTCGAGGGGAGTACAGGGGGATCCAGGGCCTCTACTAGCACTTCACTGCAGCTGCAGCCAGGGAGCCAGGGCTTGCTGGGGCTCAGGGGCTGGCCAGGCACCGTAAACATGCAGCAGCTGTGTTCTCAAATCCCAAATCGGGACATACAACCTGTGTACATACAAGGTCTAAAGGGTAATTCTCCCAGACTTTGTCCTGGAAAATTTGATACCGGCTCAGGTTTTCTCACTGTGGTTTTAGGAAATGGTTCCTGTCATCAAGAAGCCTACAGTCTAGTTACAAAGATAAGACCTAAACCAAGAAACACTTAAGAATTTTTATGGTTCCTCCTACCTGTAAAACTATGTTTCCTGTGAAGAATATCTGGATTGTTTATAAGCTTAATGAAAGCAGGTTCTGGATATTACATCATTTATGTACAGACTGACTAGAGGACAAATCCCAGCCCTTCTCTCTTTTATCTGAGTGACCTTGGGTAAGTCACTGAGCCTCCTTGTGTCTGTACCCCATCTATAAAATAGGGATGGTAATAGTTACCCAGCAGCAGGTTTTGTGAGGTTAAATGGGATAGCAATCGAAGTATGTGCACTTGGCATATAATAAAAGCTCAATGAATATTACTTTCCTTCCTTGCTCAGAGCTGGGCTCCATTCTCTACACAAATCAGACGCTTAAGATTTGTGAATGTAAGACTGATTGAGTGAATGAACTATTAAGACAACCCTATGCAAGCTGCAGGTAGGAGCTGTGGTGGGTTACCCAAAAAGCAATTATTCCCTCTTAGTTCTGCCACCCCTCTTGAGGGCCCTTTCTCACCTTGCCCCAGTGTCTGCCCTCACCATCCCCCCCCCCGCCCTCCCCCCCTCCCCGTCTCAGTCCCCTTCAGCTCCTCACATTATACGCGTCCATGATGAGCTGTACCACATTGCTGGAGTTCTCACTCAGCTCCCCCACTGCGGACTTGGGGATCAGCTTACTCAGCTCCTGAATTATGAGGAGTTGAGGGAAAGGGTGGGTCACAACTCCAGAGAAATGGGCTTCAGGGGGTCTGGAAGGAGGGCATATGGGGGAGAGAAGAATGGGACTTTGAGAGACTTGAGGAAGGTTCAGGGTGGGAGGGCTCTCACCTGGTAGACGGGCAGTGTGGCACTGGTGACAGCAAAAATGGGCTGGATGTTTGCTGCAGAGAGAGCCTGGGCTACCTGACCCACAGAGGGGTAGTCCTGGAGCAGGGAATGGGGACAAGGTGAGCACCGCAGGTCCTCCAAACACTCCAGGTACCCTCAGCCCAGGAAATCCAGGAACTGGGGTTCCACCAGCTACAGGAGCCCTGGGGACTTGGCAAGGGAGGGAGGGGCTAGGGAGTCTGAGCAGCGGGGGTGGAGCTGCTGGGGAAAACAGCTGGGTGGTTACCAGCGAGGAGAATGAAGCTGGGGGGATGGGGGTCCTGGGAAGAGAGAAGGTGGGGCTCAGGACGGGGAGGGACATGGGACTAAGATGGACTCACAAACTCTGGGCTGCGACTATAGAGGCCATTGCTGTCCAAGTGGCAATGCCCATCACTGGGCATGAAAATGCCACCCAACTTTCCATCCCCAGCTGTGTGGAACGTGTCATCTGAAGTGAACACCAGCAGCCGAGACACATTTCTCCAGCCAATCTGCTCCTAGGGTGGGGTAGGGGGTAGGCTGTGCACCTGGGCATGGCCCGTGAGCCACCCCAGCCAGCAATGTGAGCCAGGGATTTGGCCAGCTTCATTCTGAGTCAGTTTGTCTATACCCCCGCCCCCAGCTCCCTCCTCTTTTTCCCTAGACCCTAAGGCAGGGTTGCTGCTAGTGGAAGCATTCTTGTGAGTTAGAAAACGTGCCTCTTCCTCAAGATATTTTACTTCAGTTTACTAGGAAATTGTCAAAATAAATATGCAAACTATGGTGAGGATACAAATGCTACCCTGTGGAACTGTGTCCTGCACAACTGTAGGTGGCAGTCTTGGCCCCCAACAGTCCTTCAGATTCAGACTCCTGCCCCACCTTCTTACCTGGCAGAGTGCAGCCTGTAGAATGGCATCAAAGCCACCTTCAGGTGAGTCCAGGTTGCCAGACACACTCTGGCGCCCCACCTCCCGCTCGAAGGCCTTGGCATCCCCCGTCAGGGATAGCACGTGGTGAAAGCTGAAGGGGGGCTGGCAGCGCTCCAGTCGGGTGGGGCAGGGATGGCGAAGCTTGGAGGGCACTGTGCTCACGAAGGGCAGTACCGTCTTGTCCACGAAGGAGCCAAAGCCTAGGGAAGGGAGGAGGGATGAAAGCTGTGCCCGAAGTCTCTGGGCGGCGGCAGCAGGATGGGAGGGCCACTGCTGAGGACTAGGAAGGGAGGAGTCCGTGGGGGTCGGGGGGTCCTAGAGGAGCCAGGTGTTCCTAAAGGGCAGGGACCCGGTACCTGGCCGGAAGGCTGAATCCACCAGCTCAGGGAAGTGGGGGGAGGGAGGAGATGAAGAGGACACAATGGGGGGTCAGACAAGGGTTTCCTGAAAGCTGAGCAAGAAGGTGGAGTGTAAGGTGTAGCAGCAGCATGAGGCAAAGGAGACTGCGAACGGAGAAGAGGTGAGCACAGATGTGCAACCAGGGACAGTGGCATTTAGAGACACGGCTGAGACGGAGGCATCAGGGCAGTAGCTGAGTTGGTAGGTCCAGGGCACTGCCTGAGCCCTGGGAGCTGCCTGAACTCATCTCTCCAGACTCGGGGCCTCAGTTACACTCCCTGTAAAATGAATGGTTCCACTGGGCAGTCACTTAAGTCCCCTCCAGCTCTGACCTAGAAGATGCGTGTCTTTGGGGGAAGATGTCAGCAACCTGCGGCCTCTTAATCCTGGGAGAGGGCAGGTGGGGCCCTTATGTGTCCAGGACGTTGGCAGAGGCTAAGGCAGCGGTTGAAGTTCGAGGCAGAGGCTGGCAGGTGGTGGGGCTGCGCTGCGCTCACCGATGCGCACGGACTTGGTGACCTCCTGCAGCCGCACAAGCAGGGCGTGCCCGAGCTGGCGCACGAACTCCAGGTCGTCCTTCATGGAGTAGCTCAGGTCCATAAGGTAGTACAGGTCCACAGGGTACCCCTCGGCACGGAGGAAGCGGACCTGCAGCTGCTGGGGCTCCCCTGGGGACAGGGCAGTGGGGGTCAGCGGGGCACGTTCAGATCCACACCCAGACTTCTGCCCCTGCAGTGCCCCAGCTCACTCACCGGGACGCAGCGTGACCCGCACCCGCTGCGGTGCCAGCTGAGTGGCCCCCTCACCGCCCCGGGAGCCCTGGCTGAGCGGCTGGTCCTGCAGCACCTCCTGCTGGCCTTGGGGCTCTTCCAGCTCCCCTGGGGGGCAACCACGAGCCAGCAGCTCCTCACGCGAGGCGCAACGCCGCTCCTCCGCCTCCCCTGACGCTGTGAAGTTCTGTACCGCAAGGGTAGATGGGTCAGGACCCTAATCCTCCCCGCCACCCCCCCATCACCCCCAGGCCTGCTCCCAGCCCGAAATACTGCCACTTCTAACCCCTCCTCTCTCAGTCAACTCCTTGAGCCCCTCTGATTCCCTCCCCTCCCCTCCCCTTCCTTCCACAGCTGTCCTTGAACCCTGGGCCTTTCTTCCTTGTCAGAGCCCACTTCCTCCCTTATCTCGACTCCCCCCTTCCCCAGCCAACTACCCTTCCCCTCCCCCTAGGGCCGCAGACTTCCTGTTGAGGATCTCTGGGGCCTCACTTCCACAAGAAAAGGAGGAGCCCTGCCTGCTAATCCTGCCTCCCCTGCTTGCTCAGGCGGAAATGGGAAGGGAATCAGGCTAAGACTCACAGTTCCTGGGAAGGGGAAAGGATAGGGGCAGAAGAGGAGGCCCCGTTGCCCCAATATGTCTGGTACCCCTGGGACTAGCTGGGAAGCCACAGAGGAAGGAAATGGTTAAAGTGGCTTCTCAGCTGGCCTGGGTGCCAGTCTCTGATCTGGGGATTGGAGGAGGCAGGCATACATAGCTGTCCCAAGAGCCCCCACCTGGCACCTCTGCTCTGCCACCTGCAGACTGAGTCTTCCAGTCATCTCAGTTTCACTGTGTACCTTTCTCCTGGGCCTGCTCAGCCTCTGTAGCTCTGTCTCCTAGTGAGTTTGCCTTCAATTCTCATCTCATCCAACTCTCCATTTTTCTGTGAGTGTTCTGCCTCACCCCTGTCTCAGGCACTGCTACTCCATGGGCCCTGCCTCTTTAAGGCGTAAACAAAGAACAGCCTAGCCCAACCAGCGTGGCTCATGGTTGAGTGTAGTCCTGTGAACCAGGAGATCACAGTTCAGTTCCCAGTCAGGGCACATAACCGGGTTGTGGGCTTGATCCCCAGTGTGTGGGGCATGCAGGAGGCAGCGGATCAATGATTCTTTCTCATCATTGACGTTTCGATCTCTCTGTCTCTCTTCCTCTCTGAAATCAATAAAATATATATTTTTTTAAAAAAACAAAGAACAGCCTTGTTTTTGACCAGCCAGAGAGACACCCACTCCTCGGCATCCTTCTTGGCCACTGAGGTAATTCACTGAAACCCACAGGTTTCCAACTCCTTCCCTCTACTTCCCCAGTCATAGGCTAATGCATACCTAGGAACACACCCCTGGAACCCCCAACACCAACTCAGGGACCTAATCGTACACTTTCTGCCATGGATTGCCCCCCATTGTGATAGTATTAGAGATAGGGCCTCTGGGAAGAAATTAGGGTTAGGTGAGGTCATGAGGGTAGAACACTCATGATGGGATTAGTGCCCTTACAAGAAGAATCATAAGAGCTTGATCTGCGGCCCATCTGAAAGCCAGGAAGGGAGCTCTCACCAGGAACCAAATCTGCTGGCACCTAGGCCTTGGACTTCCCAGCCTCCAGAACTGAGAAATAAATTCCTGTGTTTAAGCCAACCAGTCAATGATATTTTGTTATGGCAGCCTGAGCTGACACTTCTCACGTGTGTACATGCACAATAGGTCCCTCTACCTATACACAAGCATGAGTCCCAACAGAATATACTTCCTCCAAATTCACAGTCACAAGTCCTGTCCACACACACACACACACACACACACACACACAAAATAGATATAAACTTGCATGCACAGGAATCTTGCATGTGTGATTGTGCACACACAAACACAATCACACACAAAAGTCCTATGTGCACAGACTCAGTCACACACAGGACTGCAGAGTGCACCCAGAAAAATCACACATGTACCCACACATTCATGCACACATATCCAGGCTGCATATACACCTATACATGGCTCAAAGGCCACAGGCCCATTTTTACCAGTTGCTTGCACCATGCACAGCTTGGATGTGAGAGGATGCACTTCTTGCAGGATGGGGCTGGCTTGCAGGATCCCAGCAGGGACAGATCAGGATCACCCCATTCTGTGGCCTCCCCTGGAGATGAGATCTTGGCGTCCAGTTCACTCTCACTTCTGCTCAGAACCAGCAGGAAAACAAGAACCATTGACAAAGCCACCATGGCCTGAAATTGGATATGAAGGGAGACATGTCGATCATTAGGGAGGACCCATCTAAGTTCTCAGTCCTCTAAACTTAGCCTGTGGTTGTCACTCTCAAAGCTCTACCCCAGCTCTTTATCTCCCCTCATAGTTTCACTTCCCTGTGTGGATTCAGCAGCTTCTTCAAAATGGCAAGAAGGGGCAAGTACTGGGTCATGACCCATCTCCCCTATGTGCAGACTTGAAGAGCCCAAGGTGGGCCCTAGCCAGTTTGGCTCAGTGGATAGAGCGTCAGCCTGCAGACTGAAGCGTCCCAGGTTTGATTCCGGTCAAGGGCATATGCCCGGGCTCGATACCCAATAGAGGGCATGCAGGAGACAGCCAATCAATGATTCTCTCTCATCACTGATGTTTCTCTCTCTCTCTTTCTCTCTCTCTCTCTCTCTCTCTCTCTCTCTCTCTCTCTCTCTCTCTCTCTCTCCTTTCCTCTCTGAAATCTATAAAAAATATATTTAAAAAAAGAATTTGCAACGTCATGGATGGAACTGGAGAGCACTATGCTAAGTGAAATAAGCCAGTCAATGAAGGAAAAATACCACATGATCTCACTCATTCATGGATAATAGAGACCATTATAAACTTTTGAACAATAATAGATACAGAGGCAGAGCTGCCTCAAACAGATTGTCAAACTGCAGCGGGAAGGCCGGGGAGGGTTGGGGGGCAGGAGGTAGGGGGGTAAGAGATCAACTAAAGGACTTGTATGCATGCATATAAGCATAACCAATGGACATAAGACACTGGGGGATAGGGGAGGCTAGGGGACTGTCTAGGGCGGGGGGATAAAATGGACACATATGTAATACCCTTTGTAATACTTTAAGCAATAAATAAAAATAAAAAAGAAGAAAAAAGAGGCCAGGGTGAGCAAAATGGCCTAGCCAAGAGTCTGGGGACTGGGCCTGGAGGCACCATGGTCTACACACAGGTAGATTGGAATCAACAAGATTCCAAGTCATAGTGGAAATAGAACCACAAGGGAAACAGACCAGATTCTGGTCCTGCCTCAGTCACTCATTGGCTGTGTGGCAGGTCAGACTTTCTCTCTGGGCCTCATTCCACATCTGTAAAGTGAGGGTATTGAATAATCTGACAGCTCTTATAGCTTTTATAATCTTGGATTTTATATAAGGGAAGAGTGTTAGAGGCTGTAAATAAGGGGGCGGGAGCCTGAGTAGAATGATAAGAAATAAAGCTGGAGCAGATGAGGGACTACGTGAAAGGCACGAAGATTAGCTGTATTTGTTTAACATGGTAGCAAGAGAAATAAAGATTAGGTCATAAGAACTTTCTGAAGGTCTGGAATAGCACAGGAAGGAAGGGCAAGGGGTGATAAAACTTCTTCTGTGCTTTGCACAAAGGGAATCTAGAGTGGAGAAAAAGCCTGAAGGCCCGGCCAGCATGGCTCAGTGGTTGAGCATTGACCTATGAACCAGGAAGTCAGGGTACATGCCTGGGTTGAGGGCTCAATCCTCAATTGGGGGTATGCAGGAGGGGGATATGCAATGATTCTTTCTCATCATTGATGTTTCTAGCTCTCTCTCCCTCTCCCTTCTCCGATTCAATAAAGATATTTAAGAGAGAGAGGGGGGTGGAGGGAGGGAGGGAGGGAGGGGGAGAGAGAGAGAGAGAGAGAGAGAGAGAGAGAGAAATATCAATGTGAGAGAGCCTGAAGGCAGGGTAATTCCTGGAATGACCTCTAGGGAATACCAGGTAAATTTCTGATTTTAAAAAACATATTAATGAAAATTTTGAATGGGCAACCCATTACCATGCTTCAAAAATAAAATAAAAAAAGCCTTAGCTGGTTTGGCTCAGTGGATAGAGCATCGGCCTGCGGACTGAAGGGTCCGGGATTTGATTCCGGCAATGGCACATGCCCAGGTTGCTGGCTCAATCCCCAGTAGGGGGCATGCAGGAGGCAGCCAATCAATGATTCTCTCTCATCATTGATGTTTCTCTCTCTCCCTCTCCCTCTCTGAAATTAATAAAAATATATTTAAATAAAGATTTTAAAATCCTATTGGCCTTCTTTTTTTTACATAAACGGAAAAGCTGATTCTAAAATTCATATGGAATTGCATGAATAGCCAGAACAATCTTGAAAAAGAACCAAGTAGGAGGACTCACACTTCCCAACTTGTCACAGGTCAGTGTGGTGCTGACATAAGGACAGGCATATAGATTCATGGAGTAGAATTGAGAGTCCAGAAGTAAATCCATCCACTTATGGCCAATTGATTTTCAACAAAGGTGCCAAACCATTCAATAAAGAGAAAATAATATTCAATAAATGGTGCTGGGATGACTAGATATCCACATATAAAATAATGAAGTTGGGTAAGAGATCAACTGAAGGACTTGTATGCATGCATATAAGCATAACCAATGGACACAAGACACTGGGGGGTAGGGGAGGTTGGGGGAATGTCAAGGGGGGGGGGGGAAGGAGAAATATGTAATACTCTTTGTAATACTTTAAGCAATAAAACAAAATTAAAAACAAACAAGCAAAAATAATGAAGTTGGGTTCCTACCTCACAACATATACAAAAATTAACTAAAAATGAATCAAAGGCCTTTTAAAAAGTGTTTAAACTATAAATCCTTAAGAAAAACATAGGGGTAAATCTTCATGATTTTGGACTTGACAATTGACTCTTAGCTGTAACATCAAAAGCACAAGCTACAATTTTTTTAAAAAAGCACAAGCAACACAAGAAAAAAGATAAATTGCACTTCATCAAAATTTAAAACTTGTGCATCAAAGGACACTTTCAAGAGAGTAAAATGATGGGTCTCAGAATGGGAGAAAATATTTACAAACTATATATCTGATTAATATCCAGAATATATAAAGAACTCTTACAGCTCAACAACAAAAAGACAACTCTATTTTAAAATGAGCAAAGGATCTGTAATACTTTCAACAATAAAGATAAATTTTTAAAAATAGCAAGCAGGACCATGGAAGAGAGTATCCTGATAACTTTGAAAGAAAAGAAAAGAAAAAAATGGGCAAAGGATTTAAATAGTTGTTTTGATAAAGGAGATAGACAAATGGCCAACAAGCACATAAAAAGATGCTCAACACCAGTTGTCCGGAAAATGCAAACCAAAACCACAACGAGGCATCGCTTCATACTCTCTAGAATGGCTATCATTAAAAAATGGAAAATAAGCGTTGATGAGGATGTAGAGAAAATGGGACTCTCATTGTTAGTGGTGAGAACACTGTGGGAAACAGTTTGGTGATTCTTCGATAAGTTAAAACATAGAATTACCCTATGACAGTGGTTCTCAACCTTCTGGCCCTTTAAATACAGTTCCTCATGTTGTGACCCAACCATAAAATTATTTTCATTGCTACTTCATAACTGTAATGTTGCTACTGTTATGAATCGTAATGTAAATATCTGATATGCAGGATGGTCTTAGGCGACCCCTGTGAAAGGGTCGTTCCACCGCCAAAGGGGTCGCGACCCACAGATTGAGAACCGCTTCCCTATGACCTGACAATTTCACTCTTGGTGTATTCCTAAAGAATTGAAAACAGGTGTTCAAACAAAAACTTGTACACACACACACACAAAAAGATGGAGAAAAAAAACTTGTACACGAATATTCATAGCAGTACTACTCACAATAGCTGAAAGGTAGAAACAACCCTATGTCCATCAACTGATGAATAGGTAAACAAAATAGGTATATCCATACAATGAAATATTTGGCCATAAAAAGGAATGAAGTACTGACCATGCTGCAACACCAATGAACCTTGAAAACATTATGCTGAGTGAACAAAACCAGTCACAAAAAACCACATAATGAATGACTCCACTTATGTGAGACAGCCTGAGTATGCCCAGCTGGCATGGCTCAGCGATTGAGCATCGACCTATGAACCAGGAGGTCATGGTTCGATGCCCAGTCAGGGCACGTGCTGCGTTGTGGGCTCAATCTCCAGTGTGGTGTATGCAGGAGGCAGCTGATCAATGCTTCTCTCTCATCATTGACATTTCTAGCTCTCTCTCCCTCTCCCTTCTTCTCTGAAATCAATAAAAATATTTTAAAAAGAAAAAGTAGATTAGAGGTTCCCAGGTGTTGGGGAGGAGGGAAGGATGGAGAGTGACTGCTTAATAGACAGTTTCCCTTTGAGGTGAAGAAAAAGTTCTGGAAGTAGATAGTGTTCATGGTTGCACATCATTGTGAATGTCATTAATGCCATTGGGTCATATACACTTAAAAACTGTTAAAATGGCCGAAACCGGTTTGGCTCAGTGGATAGAGCGTCGGCCTGCGGACTGAGGGGTCCCGGGTTCGATTCCGGTCAAGGGCATGTACCTGGGTTGCGGGCACATTCCCAGTGGGAGATGTGCAGGAGGCGGCTGATCGATGTTTCTCTCCCATCTATGTTTCTAACTCTCTATCTCTCTCCCTTCCTCTCTGTAAAAAATCAATAAAATATATTTTTTTAAAAAAATTAAAATGATAGATTTTATGTGTATTTTACCACCATAAAAAAAAGATCAGAGTTAAATAAGATACTGGGAAATCCCCCATCCACCCACTTCCACACCCACTTTAAATAAATAACCATCATTTATTATTATCATTTGTTGCTTGTAGTCTTTCTAGAGATTGTTTTATGCATATACAAACTAATGTAAACATATGTAGGGTGTCCCCAAAAATGTATACACACTGAATAATTATAAAGGCAATGTTTATTAAAATACATTTCATTTTCGTAATTCAGCTATCAGCTGATAAAGTATGTATACATTCTTTGGGGACATTCTGTATATATACTCTTCAAATGGTAGAATCAAATGATAGAATTCTAAAAATGATAGAATACACAGTTTGGCATCTTACTTTTTTTTCTCCTTTACTTTTCTTAGAGATCCTGCTACCCAAGAAAATAAAGAACTTCCTTGTTAATTTTTACAGGCATATAGTTTTTTATTGCATAGATTTATCATATTGTAGTTAGTCTCTTATGGTGGGGTTTTTAAATTGCTTCTAATTGTTCACTATTGTAAATAATATTGCAGTGAAAATTCATATATTTTCATTTCACATGTGTGCAAGGGAATGTGTAGGATAAATCCCTGGAAGAGAATTTGTGAGGTCAGTAAATAGGCACCATTTATAATATTGCTGAGTATTGCCAACATAACTGCCTTAAAGAATGTGCCAGTTTACATCGCCATCAATGGTCTATGAGGAAGGCCAGCTAACTCTTTGTCATGAAGCATCTGCCTCCTCCTCAGCCTGGACCTAGACTCAAATCCTGATGCTCTGCAAAGTGTGGGAAAGGGTGGGGTGCCAAGTCATTGACCACCGTGTCCTGCTCCCCTCCACCTGTGACCTCAGGCATAGAATCTATGTGTAATGGAGGCTCCACCCTCCGAGACAGACCAGCCCAGTGTAACCTCAGCCTTGTTTGCTCTGCACGCCTGTGGTCGGGGGAGACTGGAGATGCTGAAGTACAAAGCCCACTTTTGACTCATCTTTCATAGGTGGGGCCCCCATGGCACCCTGGTTCCCCGGATAGGACAACCCCAGAAACCTCAAGCCCCACTCATCTCCCCTAAAGGGGGCCCAGGGACTCCCTGGACAGCCCACTCCAATCCCCTTCTCTTAATTCCCCCTCCACCTTGTTCTCCCCTCCTTATGAATACATGACCTGCCACTTCTCTTGATCTGCCTCACTCTCCCGTTTCTATTCAAAAATTTTATTACATTTCTGCTGCTTTTTTCTTTTCCACTTCTTCACAGTTCTTTGTTTTGCTTCTTTTTCTCTCTGATCCTAACCATAGGATGGCAGAAGCTTCTAGTTCAACCCCCCTCTTTATACAAATGGAAACCTGAATCCCAGAGTGGTGAGCGACTCACCCAAGGTCACACAGTGCACTGGAGGCAGAACAGAACGGGGACTGAGACAGGTGCTTTCTTTCCCTCCAACCCAGGCACCATCAGTGTGGAAGTGAGTGCCCTCTCCCCAAGTAGCCCCAATGGACTCTACCTAATCCCCTTTCTCTTTCCACAGGGGAGGGGGACTTCCTTAGTCTTCCCTTCTCTCCCTCCGTGGTTGTCTCATTTTCCTGGACTCAATTCTGACTCCAGTACACACCCTACTGTTCCCTGAGCAGCTGAGAACCAGCGGCTTCCCAATCCATCCAGATCTTCCCAAGTCAGGCAGAACCCTGTGCTGTCCACTCGGGAGTCACCTGGAGGAAAGAGAACTGAGCCCCTGGGCTACAGTCGCCCAGGAGTGGGGGATCTGTGGCCAAGGTGCCACAGAGGGGGCCTGAGCTGAGCACCCCCTTACCCCCTCCCACCCCCCACCGCGAGCTCATTAAGCAGCAGGGATGGCAGCTGGGGAGTAATATTGGGAGAACCTACCTTGGCATAATCCTTGGCACATGGCAGGCATTCAAATTTATAGCACCTACACATTCCCTCACCTCCTTTTCCTCCCTCCAGCCCCATTCTTGGGAAACTGATGCAAGAGAGAGAGGTGGGGAGAAGGAGGGCTTGTGAAATGGGAGGAAGGAACAAGACAGGGGATCTTAGGAATGCAGAAGGGTTCAGAGCCTTGCTCAAGTTTCAGTGAATCCTGGGAGTCTTCAGGTCAGAACCCCTTCCAGGGAGGTTGGAACCAGGTGGGGCCTGGACCAGTACAGAGGCAGGAGGGCTGATGCCCTGGTACTCACAGGTGCGAACAGGGCAGCCTTTCCCTCAGCGGCAGCGGCAGCCTTTGTGTACTGATCTGGGAGGCTACAGAGGAGGAAGTGACACGCCCGGGGTGAGGAAGACTTGGGGGTGGTGGGGGTGAATGATCTAGAAAGTGGAGCAGATAGGGTGGAACTGAGCCAAGAGAGTTGATGATACAGGTATCTGGAAGATCATCTATTGAGCACCTAGTCGTGCTGGGTGTAGTCTGATGTTATAACTAATCCTCACAGGAGCCTCATGACATCGGTGTTAATGTCCCCCCAGCCCCCCTAGTTTCACAGATGTAGAGGCTTAGAGGTAAAAAGTAAAAGCTACCCAAGATCACGTTGCTAGTAACTGGATGATCTAGGATTGCCTCCAGACTTGATGATGTCTTCACTTCCTTGTATATATAGGAACATGATAGGAAGAAATATGGAGGCAGTAAATACTGGGGGAAATTGGTGACTGTTACTCAGTTTGAAAACCCCGTGTCCACTGTATCCTTGCGGGTGCTTGACTATACCAGCTCTGGAGCCAAACTGCCCCACCTCAGATCCTGGGTCTGCATCCCTTACTAGTCTTGGGACCTTAGGTAAGTTATTGACTCTTCCTGTGGCTATTTTCTCATCTGTCAAGTGGAACTCATAGGGTTGGTGGTTGAGAATTAAATGAGATTAATTCATATCAGTTGTTTAGAAGAGAACCTGGCACATACTAAGGGCTTGATGAGAGAATCAGTGAATGAGAAGTAATGGGGTGAAAAGTGGAGAGGCTTTGAGAAATTCAAGGTCCAGACAGCTGGGAAGTTGAGAGAGAGGCACAGGGCCAGGCTTAGAAAATGAGACTGGGCCAAGGAGCCCAGACAGTAGTGGAGCCTGGAAAGGGGTGGAAGGGCCACCTAGGAGAAGCATACCGAGCAGGAATGGCAGCTGCAGCGAGGGCAAGGATGAAGCCTAGTCTGGCCAGTGTGGCCCTGTGGTTGAGCATCGACCTGCAAACCAGTTTCAATTCCTGGTTGACTCTGGGTTGCTGGCTCGAACCCCTGTGGGGGGCATGTAGAAGGCAGCCGATCAGTGATTCTCTCTCATTACTGATGTTTCTCTCTCTCTCTCCCTCTCCCTTCCTCTCTGAAATCAATTTTAAAAAATTGTTTTTAAGAATGAAGCCTATAGAAAGACAGGGTTGTGGAAATACTCGCCCTGGCCCACACTTGACCAGAGGGAGCTTTGAGAAGGAACTGATGCGAGGTCTGTGTTCACAGGTCTGTCTCCTGTGTCAGGCGCACTCCTTTGGGACAGGACTAACCGAAGACACACACCTAGCAAAGTGCCCATCTCATAGCAGGTGCTCAGTAAATGGCAGCTGGATTGTAGGCGCATAGCTGCTGGGAAGAGCAACTGGGGGGAAGGGGTTCCTCCTTTGGGTGGCCTCAGGCTATGGGACCTTTTACCCTTCCCCCACAACCAGAGGTTACCATGGCAACCACCTCCCCTACCCCACAGGCCCTGTGGTTTCCTCTAGAGCTTCTTTCACTTTCTTCTTCTGCTTTTCCCCAGCCTTCTCTCTTCCCCTACTCCCATATCCTCAACCTCTCTCCATATGCACAGGTCATTGGTGAAGAAAGCCAGGAAAACAAGGTAGGCAAGGCACGGTCCCAGGGAAGAAGGTGGACCTTGGGGGTGCAGAGAGGTGATGCTGAGGGAGCACAGGGTGCAGTGGTAGAGGCCAAAGGTAGTGGGGCAGATTGGGGCAAGGAGAGAGATTAGGACAGAAGAGAGCAGTGCGGTCATGGAAGCTGAGTGGAGGCCATGGGGTGAAGAATGGGGTCAGAAGGGACAGAGAATGGTCATAAAGGGTGGGAGAGCTCATGGAGTGAGAGGCTGGTATAAACAAACACTTAACTTAGATATAGGCTGTGGGTCTTTTCTTCTGGGGCCAGAGACCCTCATGAGAACCAAATGAAAGGTCAATGAACCCCCTCCCCAGAGAAGAGCAGAGATACACATATATATGACCATGGATGGGGACAGCTTAAAGACCTCTGAGGCCCATTCCTGCCTTTCCAGAGGTCCATAGCGTCTGATCTCAGAATCCCCCCGGGTGGTTGTGGGAGGCCCAGAAACTCAGGGTGGACCCTGAAGGCTGCCTTTCTCCCCCTCCCCACCCCTCCCCTCCCCTCCCCTCCAGGCACATTACATTCTCTTTCCTTGGTTCCCCTGAGAAAGCCGCAAAACCCAGTAGATTAGGAGCGCTCCCTCTTCACCCAATCCCCCTTCAGGTCAGCTGGTCCTTTCCCCCACCGACACCTCCTCGAGGGAGCCACATCCCATGAGTTTCTATCACTTTATTTTGCAAAAATAGAAAACTCAGCAATATGCGATACAGCGGGGTGGAGGGGAGATGTAAACAGAGGGGAAGGGACAGCACCCTGACCCCCCAGGAAAAAGGGGAGCCAGTGGGAATCTTATTTGGCAGCTAAATACAAACTGGGGATTGGAGGAAGAAGGGGAGAGTCACGGGGCCCTGGGCTCCCCCTCCCAAGACCCCTAGAGGAAGGGGTCAATTCCAGGGTGTAAACAAAAGCTAATAAATAAATAGAGGCTTCCTCTGGGTCAGGGCAGGATCAGCTAAGCAGCACCCACCCCCCCTCTCCCTGGGCCAAGCTGCTCTGGGGGTCAGGGAGGAAGGCACTAGGGGCAGAGGGGTCCCCTGGCCCCTCTGTAGTGTAGGAGGGTCCCTGCCCCATGGCTGAGATGGGGGGCAGGGAGAGCCCAAGGCACATGACAGGACTGGGGAGGGGCTTATAACAGAGGGCACAAAGGTAAACTCTGGGCCCAAGCAAAGAGGTGCAGAATGGGCCTGCATCTGTAGCTTTCACCCTCTGGACCCCCACAGAAATGCAGGGCCTGGCATGAGGATGGGGCATAGAGGGTAGCATGCACCCAGTGGGTGCATTTACGCAGCATTAGGCACCAAGGGCAAGGGCAAGAGGGTGGGCTCAGCCCTCCCCCTTCACCCCTCTTTTGGTCTCTAGTGTTCCTGTTTGCTCCCAGAGGCCTAAGCACCAGGCAGAGGAAGGGACTGTGGAATGGCAGGGTCTTCCTCCTGCCCTGGGGAGATTGGGACCCTGGTGTCCTAGGGCAGTGTTGAGATTTCAGAGTCCAAACCCAGGCTCAGCCCTCTGCCCTCTTTCCTGGAGGGAGCAGGGCAGGCTCCCAAGACTGGAAAGGGAGCCCGTTAGAGCAGGAAGGGAATGAACACAAAGGTACCCCCCTGGAAACTTTGGCAAAAACAAGGAGCTCATTGGAAGGGGTGGGGAGAGGGCAGAGCAGGTCCTCCCCCAGTCACTGGTGGTGTCTGGGAGATGGTCAGTCTGCTGCCTGGAGCCCCAACCCCCATGGCAGGGGAAGTCAGGGGCCCTGGTCAGGCTGAGGGCTACGGCCCCCTTTGCCCTGGCCCCCCGGAACCTCATCCTTGCTAGAGGCCTTGGGTTGGGGACCGGTCTGCGAGGAATCGTCCTCAAACATTTCAGGGTTCTCCAGCATCTCTCGAATCAGGGGAGGCATCGGACCTGGAATCTCCATCTTCAGGGTAATGGCCCTTTCTGCTCCTGCAATGGAGGGGCAAAGAGTTTCAGGGGACAATGGCACATGCCCCTTGAGGCTACCTTTCTTAACTATCCTATGACTCCCCTCTGGGGGCACCCAGCACAGGCCTGCCGTCTCACCCTCTCCCTAATTTAGGGCTCTGGGGGCCACTCCTCTGCCTGCAGTCTCTACCTGTTTTCTCTGCCAAGCTGTTGCCCATTCATCCTATTCTTTCAGGCTGTCTTCTCAAAGATCACACCATGTCCAACTTCCAGCCCCATTCCCCAGGGACCCCACCCTCCAACATCCACAGCTCACCAGTTGTTCCTACACCTGTTTTTAATAACATATAATCATGCTTATTATTTAGCAAATGCTTACTATCTGCCAGGCATCCTTCTAAACCAGCACTGTCCAACAGAACTTAAAGCGATGATGGAATATCTACTCCATCCACTACAGTAAGTGTAGCCATGTGGCTGCTGCCACTGAGGAACTGAATTTTTCATTCAGCACAGTTCGAAGCCTGTTGTGTGTTAACTCATTGAGACCTCACAATGACTTACGAGGTAGGTATAAGTATAGTCCAGTTTACAAACAGGAGAACAAGGCACACAAAGTAAAGGAATTTGCCCAAAGTCTTCCCCGCCAGCATGCGGCAGACCTAGATTCCACTGTAGGCCCCTGGTTCTCACCTACTCAGTTCTTGCCTCTATTTGTCCACCTGACTGACCTGGAAGACCAGCACCTCTGGGAAGAGAGGGGAGGCTCACTTATGACTAACCCTTGGTGCTGATGCCCCGGAGGTCAGTGATTTTCATGAGCATCCTTGGGAACATGTAGGGCTGGCTGGGCCGCCGCCGCCGGGCATATAGCCTCAGGGCTTCCAGCAGTGGCTCCTGTAGCTTGTCCACTTTTTCAGGTTCCTCCAGGTCCATGCGGTCTATGAGGACAAGCACAGTGTAGAATGGAAGAGGTGGGGAGGGCAGCGACAAGTGGCTGATCCTCAATCGGCCTGCCTTATGGGCCTCCAGGCCTCAAATGTTGTCCCATCAGCCCTTGCCTATTATCCCTAAGCCCCATCCAGGCCATCTCCCCCGCTCCAGGCTCTGTACCTTCTCCCCTTTAGTAAGAGGCTTGCTCTGATAAATCACTCCTGCCCAGACCCCTCTCTCAGCACCAGTATCTGGGGTCTCTCCAGCTCCCCCTAGCTCTGGCCTTTTTGTCCTTTGTCCAGGCTCAGGAAGCTGGCACTGGATCTAAGAAGTCTGTGGATGAGGCCAAATACAACAATCCCATGGGTACAGACTAAGGGTTCCAGCCTGGTGAGAGATCAGGTATGATGTGTGGTGAGAAAGAAACCCGAAAAAACACCAGGGGGCGCCCCCACACCTCCGCAGATGAGGCAGATGGCACTGAGCAGACCCGTCTCTGTGTCATCCATCTCCAGTGGCAGGAGCTGCCCA